TGCCCTCCTTTTTCTCCGCCAAATTGAAGGGACGGGGCTCCTCCTCTCTCTCTCTCTCTCTCTCCCATCGTGCAACTTCGCGCGAGTAATCGCGCGGAAGCGAAAAAGGAAACGCGCCCTTTCAGCAAGAAATACAACCGAGAATTTCATCGAACGAACATCCCCGAGAAACCGATCGTCGTCGCTTCGTTTTAATTGGCCGGGGATACTTTTACTCGCTCGATGCCGAATACAAGTGCGATAAGTACGCTACTACTTGTGATAATTAAACAAGAACTTTATGCTTAACAAATGCAAACTGATACTTGTAATAAATTTTCTTTTACATTCTCTTTCTCCCTTTCTTTCGTATACTTTTTATATTTAATTTCAAATTATCCTGAAATTTTTCGATTTTATCAGACATTTTCAATTTTTTGGATCGCCATTGGATGCTTGATTCTCTGCATTAGATTATGTCCAAATTTCTAATTTGAAAGCACACAAAATTTATAAAAAATTAGTGCTTTTTCCAGACTATTTATTTGACTGTATCTTTCAAATTTATTGATTAGAATTGTACAAGATTAGAGGCAATATTCGTAAAAATATTATAGTGATATTGAAAATTTTCGAAAACATAATCTTGTCTTGTATTATTTTATCTCCATTTTATTAACAATTTTTATCTAATACTAATAAACAATTGTTTAAAATAATATATTTAACATAATCTTTATAATATAATTTAAGACCATTACTATTATTCGTTTATATTTCTCAAAACACACGTATGTGTGTTTTGAGAAGTATGTATATTTTTAAGTTTATTTTATTTAATTTAATTAACCTAAAAAAATTTGATGAAATAAATGACTTTATTTAATTAAAAAATATATATTATAACGAATTTAAAAATAATTGATATAATAAATAAAATAAACGATACAAAATTGTATACAATTATATTCGTTATTTTTACGAAAATACAGTTGCATACAATAACACTAGAATGCATCACACGCAATCAGAAAACACGTACATGAGTCGGAAGCAAAATTATGTGTACATCATTCATTTTATTTGTTATATTAATTATTTCTAAATTTGTTAATGTCAACATCAATGTTTTTTTAATTAAATAAAATTGAATAAAATTGTTTAAATTAATAAAAATAAATTTTAAAAAAATTCCGTCACACAAATAAAATATAATACAATTAAATAAAATTTTTTAAATTCACATATAATATAATTACTTCTTAATTTATTAATATACACGTTTTAGTTTTTTTAACGAATATCAAAAACCTTGACAAACTTAAACTTTTATCTTAACAATCAATTACAAGTCTCAAATTTTGAGACAAGACTAGTATCTTACTATTGGTCCCCCATAGCAAAAAAAGTCACAGTGATATCACAATAATATGTCACAATCACAACAAAGTCGTGGTGACATGCAAATGTCCGCTTTGTCACAAGTGTTATATCACTATGACATCATTGTAATATTAAATAAAATGTTATTGTGAAGTAATTTACACACACATCCAACAAAATGATCTTATATATATGATCTTATATATATATATATATATGTTTTTTAAAATAAATTTAATTTATTATTATAATTTTAATTTATTAAAATTAAATTTTTAAAAATTAAATTAAAATTAAATTTTTAAATTTTTTAAAAAACATATATATATAAGATTATTTTGTTGGATGTGTGTGTGTGTAAATTACCTCACAATAACATTTTATTTAACTTGTCACATTTGTGACAAAGCGGACATTTGCATGTTACCATAACTTTGTTGGGATTTTATTGTGACATATTATTATGATATCACTGTGACTTTTTTTGCTATGGGGGATATCAACGTTTGATCGAAAAAGTAGAATCCCAAAAGTGAATGGTATTAAATTTCAGGGGAAATCGTAGATGATGTTTCACGCCCGGGAGACGAAGGACATTCTTGTTGGGTCTTCGCCGGTCATTTCCGGCGACACGTAGCGCGCCCTTAGCTGTCCCACCTTTTGATTTATCACGACGCGGGGCCACCCGCGAGGTAGGCAGCCCGTGTCGGAAGGCTCCTCTATACGTGGCGATGATAAATCTCGGCCACAGGCGCCGCCGTTAAATCTGCGCGAATCACGCAGCGTGCGGCCGGTATCGCCGTAATAAATCCCGCTTCGATCCCGCAAAACCGTGTCTTGGAGTAGCACGTGAAGAATCCAGAAATAGCGGGATTTATCTTGTAATTTTCAAGGAAATTAAATCTCCCGGTATCAATGAACTCGAGGGGCAAATCGAAGTGCGAGACGCGATTCGCGCCAAGATACAAATCTAATCACCTGGAAATTGACAATCGAAGGCATCTAATGGCTAATGGATCGCGGGATCAAATCCTAAACGCGAGTGAAATGCGAGCGAGCGGGAATTCGAAGAATGCAAAAATCGTATGCGAAACGTTAAAAGAACGGCGCGCGAATGGAAATGACAGTGGAAATCGATGAACGAAGCATTCAGAAACTGAAAAAAATTGCGTGAAATCCCAAATTACATCGAAGCTCCGAAAGTATAACGATAACGATACAGCCTCTCCCCGTAGCCGATGCACCAACGTTCCGCCATAGATTTCGACCAATAACCGTTTCCCCGTAGAAAATTCCGCAATATCCATGGAAACAACCAGTTTTCGTTCGAATGACTCGAAAGATAGAACGAAAGCGAACTTTTGCGTCTAATAATATTGCCACCATGTATATTTAATATATATCTTCCTTCGTTTTTCTATAACAGAAAGAGATCATTTTATACAAAAATATATTTTTCCCTGTCATTTATTTTTCTTAACAAAAAGAAAGAATAATAAAAAAATGAAATAAAATTAAATTAAAAATAAAATATATTAAAAATAAGGTAAAATAAAAATAAAAATAAAATACTGATGTATTGTATGATAAAAAGATTAATAATAATAGCGCAATATAATCGTTACATTCGGGTACAAAGTAAATGGATGTAATAAAATACAGCGGCGCGTCGAGGGGAGAGAAGCATGTGACATTTTGTCGTTTTGGCGGTAATCCCGCGACGAAAACATCGCCACATTGTGCATTATGGAACAGCGAATATGGCGAGGATCCTTATGATTCTTCTTGCTATCAACTTGGCCGGTAAAATAAGTACACTCGAGATTCAGCTTATTCTGAATAATATATCAAACTTATGAAGCGGCTTTAAGGGCTTTAAATCCTCATATTATAAAGTAGAGAGACCGAAATTGCGTGTTCGCGTGTTTGAACGATTACGTGTTTCGAAAGAATCCGATAAATGAGGATTTTATACGATATAAAAGAGAGAGAGAAAGGGAGGGAGAAAAAATACTTGTAAATAAATGTATAGAAGAGTTAAATTTAATATCCAGGGGAGCGAGATCTAAAAATTCAAGATCTAACATTCGTCCCGTTCTTTTTCCGGAGTTTCCAAACTCTAAGGAGCTAAACTTCCGCAGTTATAAAATCCATCTAGGTGAAGATCCTAGACAGCATCTACCACCCTTTCCTCGTCCCTTTGTGTCTGGGAGACGAGCTAAGTTCATTAACGTAAATGAGATGATTCTGAAGAGGAGCTACTCGTCGTCAGAACCCCCCAACCCCCTTCCGCCCCCCCTTTCCTTCCCCTGCGCATCCAGACGAGGTCGCCTCAAAGCCTTCTTATCGTAGATTTAACACGTCGTTACGTTCCGTGAATACGCTGTGAATACACGTGCGTAGACGCGAAGCGGATAATTCGGATACAAAACTAATTTCGCGAACCCCTTACGTGCATTAAGCTCACCGGGTCTCGCATTCGCCTCGACGAAAGTCCCGAATTGCGCGTCATTATGCTTTAACGAAGTTTTATTGTCTCGAGAAAGCTCGAGTCATAATCTTAATTTGCAAAAAAACATTTTAATCATATCTCGAATCGAAATCAGAGTTGAATTGAGGCTAAATTAAAGTGATTCGCAATTCAATAGCGGTGGATCCAAATAATTCCACTCAGAGCTCGATACAATTTCAATTCGCCGTCCAAATTTGAATTTATTAACGCGTAATATTTATGCCACGCTGAAGATGGATCGAAAAATGATCCGGAATATTCATGTTTAATGCACGTATCGTGACGAGTATTTTAAATATAATTAAAAGAAAGAGGAAGATGTTTTTTTCTTTCTTTTTTACACTTCAATTGTAGCGCCTTGGTTCTTATTTTTCAATTTTTAATTAATTTTTTTATTGTTATTATTAAACTAATTTTTTAATTTAATTTCAATTTAATTTAATTCTAGTTAAACTTGAATTCGACTCGATTGATTAATTATTCACGTATACAAGACTCGTTTTATAAGATTAAATCTCTATATTTCTATATAAATTTTTATCAGTTCTAAACCTAGAAAAATTTAACACACGAAACTTTTGTTTTAAAGGCAGATAAAATAAAGAAAAATAGAAAAAATGATAACAATAAAATCATAAAAATAGAGAAAATGATAATAATAAAAATAAAAAAAAATTAATAAACGAAAATAATATTGAAATCACTTATCGCGCCAAAAATTGATCATGAGGATAATCCCAAAGCGTTAATACGTGTTCTAAAAAATTTGCCAAGAGCTTACGATGAGGGTAATATTATTCGCGATTCGTTATTCATCGAGCTACTCGCGAAAGCATGTCTCTTTCAAGTCACGAAGGCACAGGCTCGTGCCTTCCGCGTTTCGCATTTTCGCGGATCAACGAGCAAACAAGGATCCGGTACAAGTATCCTTCTCCTCGCATCTAGACGGCAGTCGACGAGATGCATATCCGTGGAAAAATGTCGAACAACGAGGACGGTTCCATCGAAAACGAAAGTTTCCGCTTGAAACTCGCCTCGCCCTGGCGGCGCTTCGTTCGAAAACTCGTGATTTAATTTTAGAAACGTTTCTCGCACGCTTTCTGGCTCAGTTCGCTTGTGAGATTCGCCGGGACAAAACGAGCTTTCTCGACAACACGCGCTTTTATTGCCTGTATAAAAGAAAAAAAAAAGACAGAAAAAAGGAATTAAGTGCGCTCGATTATCCAACAATCGCACAAAAATTTCGATTTTATTTCTCGTCATGTTTTGCGAAACCGCCAAAATTACAGTGACAATGTGACGATGCGATTGTGCGCGAGAGGTGTAATTATCAAAATTAGATTTATCAAAGGGGAAAAATATTATACGAATCGCGCGAGTGAAATTTCCTGTCGTTAAAATTTTTGTGCCACGTGCGAAAGAGGGTAAAAAAATTAATTTTCGATTATTTCATAAAGCGCGGATCTAAAAATAGAAATCCTAACAATATAATAGTTTGTCATAACTCGAAATAATATTTTACCGAGGGAAAATTTGTACAAAATTTATTAAATAGAATTTTTTTTCCTAATTGAAAAAGAAAAAGAGAGAGAGAGAGAGAGGTACAATAGGGGTTTAATAACCGGAGCGTGATAACGTGGCGGTATTTTCTCACCTCTCGAAAAATCTATCATAAACATCGACGAAGGTAAAAAGAAGAATTAATGATGGATGCGATGAATTCCTATAAGCTTATCCGCAACAAGCGGTCGGCAAAATAGGATTTGCTGCAATAATCGCTTACGCTCTCTCGTTCAATCCCTAATCCCTCAACAACACACACATCTGTACAGAAGGAAATATAAAAGTTTGCCAAAAATATTTTATATTTCACTCTCGCGGAATAAAAAGGCTGAGCTCGTTAAAAATAATATTAAAAATACAAAAATAAATAGAAAGATGGAGAAATATATAAAAATGGAAATGTTTCCAAACACACTATAAAATATCTCTCTTTCTCTTTCTCTCTCTCTTCGAAATTCCGATACATCTACTATTTCATCAAGAAAACATGGAGCGAAAAAAAAACAATTTAATAGATATGCACTCTCTATTTGAGATAGTTATATAAATAAAAAAGTAATAGTTTTGCGCGCGCCTGGTGGCAACACATCTAGCCCATCAAACCGTTATTGCGAATTCACACCCTGAAGAGCGTGCATCGACGCGAAAATGTACAATTCGGCTCCGCTCGACGAGGAGGCTCCACAGTTGTCATCGTCAACGTTAAAAATAACGCGGGGAATTTTCTACGGGTGCGAAACGTCTAGCAGAAATTTTTACAAAGTTCCGAGAAGATCTCGTCACTTTGCGCTATTTTTCTCCGCGTACGTTCTCAAGATTTTTACGCTACCAATTTTTACTTCGCTCCGAGAATTTCTCATATACGCTTGTATATAATTATGTATGGGAAAAATCTCGCGAGGAAAATTAAAAACAGAAGATCATCATGTGTATTTAAGAGACACGCATCTTTTCATGCGTGAAAATCAATTAATTCTTTCCGCCATTTTTGCTCATCGTTAAAAACAGATTATGATGTATTAAAAAATTCCTCGAAATCTTTGTGATTATGAGGTAAATATAGAATTTTCATCAGTTAATATCTATATAAAATTTATTAGTAAGTATCTAAATAAAATTTTATTAGTTAATATCTAAATAAAATTTCCTATTAAATATCTAAATAAAATTTTATTAGTTAATATCTAAGTAAAATTTAAAATAAATATCTAAATAAAATTTATTAGTAAATATCTAAATAAAATTTATTAGTAAATATCTAAATAAAATTTTATTAGTTAAAATCTAAAAAAAAATTTCCGAATGAAGAAAATTATCAAAATGTTAAAATTTTAAAATCTAATTTTTAGATCCTCCATAAATTTTCATGTGAAAATATGATATCAAGGGAAGCTCGAAATTCTGACTATATTAGCTCAGATAAATCTAATATGATCTGAAAATTGCATAGCGTATTCAAAATTCCTCAAAGTTTGTCATTTTAAATGTCACAAATATTGGATTTAGTTAGTTGCTCCCTCTCTCTTTCTCTCTCTCTCTTCTTCTTTTGCGTTTCCCCAGATTAGTTTTGAACTCCATGTCACTCATTCGATGTAAATTACGTCCAAATTACGAGAGATGCTCATGCATAAAACTAAAACTACATCATCGCAATGTTGGAAATCATCATATGATCGATTGCGACTGTCGTTTGACAAGTTAACGCGCGAATCTTCTTTAAATTCTCATCGTATCCGAAGCCCTCGTATACGAACATGTCTCCTTATGTGCAAAATCCCTCTCCGCTACACCACAAAAATACTTGGTCTAAAAATAGCTTTCTGCGCGCTAAATGTAAATCGTCGAGAACGAGTTTGTTGGGCGAATTAAAAAGGAGACGTGCTGGGAAAATTACATTCAATTAAATTTCATCCCCCTAATACGCCTCTCTGCGACCGTGCTTTTTGTTCAACGCGGCTCTAGTGTTGGGGCTTTTGACGGGTAATGCTGTAAGTCGAGAGAGGTCCAAACGCGCGCTCGATGTCCTCTAGAAGCGATATTCTTGGCGGGACAAACAAGGGTGAACGCACGTACCAAGAGAGAGCGACGACTCGCGCGACTGCACGTACTCTTCGCCCCAAATAGAACGCGTCGCCTGTTGGTAAACTTCGTTCTCGCTCTCTCTTTCCAGCGACTTTCGATCGCCCTCGCTCGCGTCAGCTTCTTTCCCCTCTCGCTCGACGGTGCTTTCTTAAGCTTAAGCGCACTGAAGGAACGCGTGCGTGTCCCCTCGTTCAAATTTAGCGGACAGAAAATTTCGAGAAATTAAATGACCAACAATGTGGCTATTAATCGCGAAATTATCGCGGATGAATCTCGACTTTTCGATCACCTTTTAATCACGTATTTTTCTTTCTAAAATTCCGGCAAATTTCTGGATTTTGTGTGGTCGAATCCAAAATTTTTAATTTCAAAAAGTTCAATACTGCAGAAAGTTATAAATTTTTAAAATTATATGTTTTTTTTCTTTTAGATTCGGATTCAAAAAAATCATCAAAGAGAAAATTGCAATTATTAGTTTGGATTTCGTACAGAAAATATTGTACATTTATTATTTATATTATTGTATTTTAAATATTGTATTTTTTATATAGAACATTGTACTTATCATATCAATATAAAATCAAAATTTAATATCAAATATAATATCAAAATTTTTTACAAACAATTTTTTTACAAACTTAGAACACTAAAAGTAAAGGATTTTTCAGAATTTTTTCCCATGTTATTTTTATTATTAAGTCTATATAAAATATTGTATTTTTTGTATAAAGAATTAATAATGTAAGAATTAATAATAAAAATAACATGGTAAAAAATTCTGAAGAATCTTTCAGAGTGTACTAAGTTTGTAAAAAAATTACCCTTTTGATTTTCTTTACAGATTTCCATAATAGATTAGTGGAAAATGCATTTTTCCATGAAAAAGTACTAATTTTAACTATTCGTTTTTATTTATGGTACCTTTGAAATTAAGAATTAATAACTTTAATTTTTCTTACACTTATTGATGTTCTAGGAATCTTTTAGGAATAAAAAATCCGATTTTTGTTGTTAAAAAAGTAGTTGAAAAAAATGAAAAAGAGATGGGTCTCTGAGCGATCCATTATAACGCAAGGATTAATCGCGAAATCATCGTGAATACGTCGAACTCAACTTTTAATTAGAAAAAATTATACGACTATTGACACATATCGATCAAATTTTCATAGAGATTCGCTTCTTCGATTATACACGTCTACATTTTTAATTTTAAATCTGTGCAAGATTCTAAAAAATCAATTAATCGATAATAAATTTTTTTTCTGTATATCTAAAGAGAGCGAGAATTGTGTTGATCGCGCTGAATATGAAATGCATATTTGACGGAGCAATTCTGGCCGATCGGGCGTTAAAACGAGTCCGAGGGGAGATGTCATGTTGAACTTTGCAATGAACTGTAACTGGAATAAAATCGAGAGGCGTCCGGAAAATCGACCGACAGCCACGAAAATGTGAACTCCACGTGCGGAAAAGTAACTTCTAACAATTCCGCGTGGCAGCGGAAGCTCCCAAGCGAAAAGTTCCAACGACGACCGAAAGAGCCAGCCCGTTCGTTCCCTTCGCATCCGGTCTGACGGCAGCCGGAAAAATTATTTTTACTTCAATCGCGAGTGCTTCGTCGCAGCCTGCTTGTCGCGCGTTGCCTCCAAACTCGTCGCGAGATTTTTAAGAGAGGTTTCCGTACTTTTTGACGATAATTTCTCTCACATATCATGAGAGCCCGAGTGCCAAGTGGAATTTTCTCCTTATTTTTATGAATTTTTAACAAGTGTGTCTTGTGATAATCTCAAAGATATTGAACTCTCGCGAATATCGTAGAGTAAAATCTCTGATTAAAGTTTGTTCCAAGCGTTAATTAATGTTGTTGAGACGATTTCCGAGGCGTTAAACTGAATTTGAAGTGCCGCGCTTGGATCCACGAACGCGAAGCAAATGTCCAAGATGCTGCGAATGGAATTGCTGGGTCTTCTATTGTTGGCCTGCACGCAAATTCTTACGGAGCACCGCGACTTGCACGAGTCGCGGAGTCAATATGGTTACCATCAGCGATTTCATGATCTTCAGGAAAGGATGACGAGGGAAGTTCGCGTCAAGGAAGGCCGATTGCGCGGTGTGGTAGTCCAACCGAGAACCAATCACAATTTGCAACTGGTCGATGTCTTTCTCGGTGAGCCATATGTCTAATTGTTAAGAATTATCATACAATAATTAATTAATTATTTTGTTAAAATAAGTGAATTAAAATAAGAAAATATATTTATAAATTATATAACATTTATATAATATTATATATAATATTCATATAATATTTATATAATATTTATATAATATTTATGTAATATTTATATAACATTTATATAAAATTTATATATTTATATAATATAATATTTTTCTCGAAATTTGAATGGATTTTCGATTAAAATTGTGAAAATTAAAATACAATTAAACTTAAGAAAGGCATTTTTATATTAATTGAAAAAAATGGAGATATTAAAGAATCGCATACTAAATAAATTTCTTTTTCCAAAATAAGGTACATATTTATTACTAAAAGGAACTCGGAAAGAATTTAATTTTTCCTCGACGAATTTAGAAATGTCGATTAATTTAATTAAGTGATTTTATCGTGTTTGACGTTTGCTGGAAATAACAACGCGGACTCTTTTCCTCTGCCGAAAAGAGAAATGCGATGAAACTATTCATATCGATCGAATAATCGTTTAATTCGACGGAGATGCTAAGCTAGTCGACATTCCATATGCAATAATCTACTATAACGGTATCCCGATAACGTTCGATGCTCCGAGGAAACTCGGCTCCGGTCAGTGAGCAAAAGTTTCCTGGCAGCTGCATATCCGCGCTTTGAGAGTCCCGATACGTCAAAGGATCCAAAACGAGGAGAGCGTACGCTCGTGTATTTCGGGAACAGATATTTACCCGCCGTCTCCCCTTTAGCTTTCTCGGTCCTTGTACGCGTCCGTCAAGTCGCATCGCCACGCGTCGAGTTGCATCTGTGTGCATCGCTTTGTATATCCAAAAGCGAGTTTACGCCGCTCGCTCTTGGTAATCATCCAAAGTGAAACGCGTTCGACGAAGCAGTTCTTGCTCAAGACGCGTGCTAACCTTGTAAAGATGAGTGAATTAAAAAAAAAGATATATATGTATAGAAATTTTTTTTTCTCCATCTCGAAATTTGTGTCCGATTTCCGACTGACGAGGGAACTGAGAAAATTCTGATTTTGTAACTTGAAACCTTACATACACTCGTGAAGGAAGTAAATAGATGAATAAATAATTTTTTTCAAATTTTTGAAAAAAAATTTTCGAAAATTATTTTTTCAAAATTTTATTCATGTGATTAAATAGAGATATTTTTACGGTGAAACTTTTGTATGAAACATTTTTCGATATCTCGAATGATTTTCGAGATATATATCGAGAAGAGAGCAAAAAATTGCTGAGGGATTTCATTTTTTAGAATCAATTATCAAATCAATTTTTAAAATCATTGTTTTTATCACAATTAAAATTTATCAGACGACAAAGTTCTTTTTTAATCGAATTAAAATTGTACGAAAATTAAAATACAACTTTAAAAATCGTCTAAAAGACATATTAATATTTTTTTATTAATTAGGAAAATATTACATTACTAAAGATATATTATTAATTGCGTCATAATAAATAAATAAATAAATTTTTTTTGAAAAAGGTATCTCTAAAAAAAATTTGGAAAAAATTTAATTTTTTCTAAATTGATCACTCAAAAAAATGTTTTGCTAATGTAGGTATATTTTTAGATGTCGCAACCAAAATTTATCGCTATTTTTTGTATCTGATAGAATATCGTTTGTCTCAGCTAGAATTTATAGCAGTAACATTCTAGCAATATCTGCTAGAAAATTTAGGATTATATATTCATTTGTTCTTGCTGCTAGTATTTTCTGTGTACTACAGTCAAACTTTATAACAAGTATGGATTGATTATAACATGGATAGACGCCACAGAAAAACTTTCTTTCTAAATTTCACAAACAGTTCAGATATAAATTCTGTCTCTGTCATTTAGATTGATTACGTGCAACATATATACGATATTACAATATTTGCTAATCGTTTATCTGCCTCAGTTAATTTTTGGCATCTATAAAATTTTTGCTATAGTTGCAAGATCATTTTTTTGAGTGTATTGTATGATAGAAATGTCGCTTGCATTAAATGACGATAACGCAATAGATTTAAATATCAGAGGGTCCATCTGTCTGAAGCAATCTCTTGCGTGTTTTAGGAGTTCCTTACGCGGAGCCTCCGGTGAAATCCTTCAGGTTTTCGCCGCCTCGCTCACCGCAACCATGGCGAGGGGTGAGGCAGTCGCAGGAATTCGCCCCAGTTTGCCCGCAAGTCTTGCCAAATCTTCGGGAAGAGGTGAAACCGGGCAGGTACGAATACCTGGAGAGGCATCTGCCGTACTTGAAGAACCAGAGCGAGGACTGTCTGTACCTCAACATCTACGCTCCTCATCAGGCCGAGGGTGAGTGCGAGGGATCACACGAACCGGGAGTTTCGTTGTTAACGGCGATGGTATTAGTGGGTTACGGAAGTTATCGACTTTGATACCGCAGTAGCAAATTTAATCTACGAAACCCGAGGACTGACTTTCGCTTCCGTGCCCGACGGAATTCGATCGAAACCTAAGAAATCCAAGTTCGCGATTTAATCCAACTCTGTCCCTCTAATCTCATCGTCGGCTAAAAGGTTACCTCGAGTTACGACAAGTCCGGGGAGAAACTGCCGCCATATTTAATTTAATAATCACTTTCGCCGCGACTCGAGTCGATTCGGGGAGAAATTATCAATCTCGCGACTGGCTACTCACCCTTGGAAAGTGGAAAAAAAAGGTCCTCTTACAATCGCCAAGGTTTTCCCGTTCCAACGAGAGGCAAACATGAACGGACTGAAATATTTTACGCTCCGTATATACATATATAATCCGCGAACGCGACGATCCTCGCATCCGAAACTCGGGCGGGCGGAATAAACCCCCGAGATCAAAATACCTGGCACTGGATCGAAACTCACGGGTTTCTCTCTAGCGCAAAGATAGAGACAGATAGAGAGACAGAAGAAGTGAGAGAAAGAGAGAGAGGGAGGGAGAAATAAATTCGATTTAAAAAAAAAAAGGAAGGACGGGGGATGGAAAGAGAAAATCGGATGAGCCTCGATCTCGCGATTATGCGAGCGCATTCGGGATCCCGCGGGCGGGCTTTTCCGCTAAAACAGCTGCGATATCGATTTGCCGAACCTGCCGGCCGCTGTCACGATGGAAGGAACGATCACGTGGCGCGGGGGCCACGGCTTTTCGCGTGCGCGTTATAAATTCATTCGCGCCCCCCCCTCCCACCCCCCTCCCGCGACCGTATATATTCATTCCGGTCGCCCTTCCTCGCCCTCCTTCACCCCTCCCTTCCTCCTGGCTGCTCCCTCGCCCCCTCACCCTCCTTCCCCCCCCCCCTCGCCCCTCCTCGCGACGCATTCAACGTTTTACAATGTCGGTCCGACCCCGCAGTGGGTTAAACTCGCGTCGCCGACCATTTCGGCGAGGAGGGGGGAGAGGGGGGAGGGGCGTGCGTTGTTGCGTGCGTTGTGCGATATCGCTCGCAAAAACCGCACCGCGCGTCCAGCCCACGCGCTCGTTTCACGCAGCGATGCGTTCGCCATGAGCCGTGCATTTTCACTTTTTTTTTTTCTCCTCCCCTCCTCGCATCCCCCGTCGCTCCCACGCCTTCCCCCCTTTCCCTTGACCCTTCCCCCGTGTTTTGTGAATACCGAACACGCATTTCGAATCGAAATCCTACCGTTTTGGCGTCGATTTTGAAATTTTATCCGTGCCACACACCCTCCCCCCCCTCTCTCTCTTTCTCTCTTTCTCGCTCGACGCCGAATCAAATTGCGCGATCCTGTTTATAAAAATATATTTGCCGGGTAAAACCGATGTAATCTAATTTTTTTTTTTTTTTTTTTTTTTTTTTTACGATTGATGGTGTTTGTGCGAGATTTGCGGATTAGGTCGGGTACATACGGTAAATTCTACGCACGGGGATAATCGACTTTTCGTTTCTCCCCCTGCCTCCCCCCCCCTCGCGTCTCTTCTCACCAACGCGCAGACAAGGTTAATCTTTTTATCACTGTGTTTGGAGAGAGCACTTCTTATCCCCTCCGATAAACAAGATAAGCAGCACTGGATTTCCTCAGCGTTTTCTCGGCAGACATTAACCCCTTGAAGCTGGCTTGCTTGCTTCGAGGATTCCGCAATTACCGCAATTGCGGTTGCTCGCGTATCTCCTAAGATCCAAATCGCGAGTAGTCATTTGTAGAAAATAGATTGAAGGGTAAATCTAATCGCAAGGACTGCAAATCGCTCCACGTTTATGATTGATCAGCTGATCGACATTTAAAATTCGCTAAATTCAAATTCAGGCGCAAAAAACCTGAAAGGATCGTTAAAATTTTCCACGCAAGAGCTTCCTTTGCATTTTCGCGTGTCCTTAAAATCCCCTAATTATGCTCCTTCCATTCAAACTCCTTTTGAATTGCGATAATTGCCAGCGCAAAATGGCTTCTCATTCGAGCAACGTATTCGATTTTCTGGAGTTACTCTATGTCTTTTTATTCCCTTACACAATATGAACCTTCGTCAGAAGGTTCACTCAAGATTCCAATTTTGTTTCACCTTTATCTCAACGTTTCGAGCACACAGGTACATATTCAAGTTATTAACGGACACACGGAGAGAGTGGCAGACGCGAGATTAGTATTACACGCATCACGGGATTACTATTAATTCTGGGAAAGACACATTGAATTTGGAATAAAACGCGTTGATGACTGCCTCGTCTGGTAGAACTCAACTCGGGAGCTCGAGTGGAGAGGAAAACGTGTGCACGAGTGGCACTTGGGAAAGTCGCACGGGCCTTTGTACAACCTTGTCGTTCTACGGTTCCAACGAGACCAATTTCTCTTTTACCGCGCTTTATCCGGGAGAGGGAAAGGGAGGAGAGGGATAGGAAGCACATACTTGGAAGCGCTTTGTGAGGCTTAGCACCCCGTCAAACTACGTATAATTATATCGACGATGCATTCATATACACGTATACTTCATTCTCGAATGTCAAGTGATTCTCGCTTGTTAAGATTTCTTTTACCTAAATCCAGATCTCTCTCTCTCTCTCTTTGCTCGCCCCTCATGCGAATGCGCTTGGCAAGATGTGATCGTGTTATTAAGCTGTTTTCTAACTTCAAAAATTAAGTACAATCGTGATCAAAATATTAGGGTAAAAATTCCAATTATAAATTTTTTAAAACCTCGCAATTATTTGATTTGAAATTGAACAAATCTAGTCGCTGGGATTGAATTAAGTAAAGGTTGAAAAAATGTTATACGCGGTCTCCTCTTCTCGGCTAAACTGCATTTTTTCCCTCGCAAGTAGGAGCATTTCCGCGAGTCGAGGAAAGCATAAGGGTGCACGCAAAAATCATTTATTCCGCTAACATTGCATGAATTTGCTCTCCGCGAAAATTTGACGTCTCTTTGAGTCCAAATTAATGGAAGGCAAATAACCGTTCTTTGAAATATAACGAGAAATATTTAATCCTCTCGGAAAGGTGCCTTCCTGAGATCCCGACGCCAAATGTCAAACGTCAATTGAATTCGATGGCGTATTTGCCATTCTCTGTTTCCCCCATGTAAAGATAAGCCTTGATCCTCCGCAGGCTCTTGCTGCGATTTTTATCCCCCGCGGATTGTCTGAGAGAGCTCGCCCCGATTCAAATCTGAATATCGAGGTGAGAAGGCTGGCATTTGAGATCTTTCTTACGGTCGACGCGCATATTCGGTACGCCATATTGCTTTCCAGAGAACGAGATTTATTCGACTGTGCCCCGTAGATCGAGCATTAATGAATTTTCCGATATTTTACAGCGCCGGGGGAATCGCTGAAAGTCAGCCTCCGCCTCTTCAGCTTCATATTTTTCGCCTTCATTTTCATGTCACCTCCCTTTCTCTCTCCTTTGCACATGCACATTTATATAAGCAATGAAATTGCGTGGAATAGGACTAAAAATGAATAGAATAAACGACCGACATTTCATGTATCGTCATTATCCAACTAACGCTGTAAAATAATTATAGGAAAAATACTTTAGCCAAGGTTAATTTTTTTAATTCACCGATATATTTTTTATTTCCAAAACACTTTCAAATTATCTTAATCTAATTATTAATTTAATTTAAATTCTTTTACTAATTTAAATATTTAATTTTAAATTATTAACTCTTTTAAATTATTAATATTTATCTTTTAGATTATCTTTTAAATATTTCCATTTTTATTTTGTAATTTTTGTAATTTTTTTAATCCACCGATATATTTTTTATTTTCCAAACTCTTTCAAATTATTAATCTAATTAATAATTTATTTTAAATTCTTTTACTAATTTAAATATTTAATTTTAAATTATTAACCCTTTTAAATTATTAATACTTATCTTTTAGATTGTCTTTTAAATATTTCCCTTTTTATTTTGTAATTTAAAAAATTTTTTTAATCCACCGATATATTTTTTATTTCTAAAACTCTTTTAAATTATTAATCTAATTAATAATTTAATTTAAATTCTTTTACTAATTTAAATATTTAATTTTAAATTATTAACCCTTTTAAATTATTAATATTTATCTTTTAGGTTATCTTTTAAATATTTCCTTTTTTATTTTGTAGATATACTTGCAGATTTTTTAAAAGCAAAAATATGTATATCTATCTCTCTTGATAAAAAGTTCTGAATTTCATGTTTATTATCGTTAAACACATCAATCTTCTTGCAGTTTCAAAAATGCAAGTTTATAAACGAAGTTTAAAAATAAAATTATATTTATAAAAAGTGTCTCATTGGAACATGATGTATCGATTATTGAGGGAACTTACAATCCTTCGTATATTTTTAATTCTAAAAAAAAAGATTCCAGAATCTGCGTAGATCCCACCCCCGTAAAAATTTCGGTATTTAAGAGTGGGCGAATATATTTTATACAAGAAATCCTTTTAACTCGCGACTGGATAGTTCCGATTTATTCGCGGCCTCGGCACATCTTTCATCGCTCGACCGCGGCTTTTCGCGTGTTCGGCGGCCGAAATTCGCCGCGCGAATAACTTTTGTTTACCAACCGTGCCACAAGCGGTTTCAGATTAAAACTCTCGCATGGGGCCGATTTTTCCACCTTTCGCGATGAGGGTGGCATAAATCTCGGAGAGGGATGGTTGAGGGGAAAGGGAAAAGGGGGAAGTAAATGAGAGATGATTAACATCGCGGAAAAAAATGTCGGGAGTGTCATGTCACCTTGAATAAATGCGTTGTTGAAGTTTGTAAAATATACTTTAACTTTTTTCCCTCTCTCGATCCGCTCTCGATTAGGGGTGCAAAAATTATACGTCTCTCGAATGAGAATTGTTTTTTTTATAAAGAACGCGATT